TCGGCAAACCGCTGCCTTGTTCTGCCTCTTGGGTTTGTTTGCTTTCAATCGAGGCGAAGTTCGTGGATCATAAAACTAGCCATTTTCCCCCAATCATAAAGGACAGTCAGTGTGCTTACACGTGTTCAAGAAATCAATCATCTGTTATAAAAAGTAGCTCATCTGCGTCCTTTTCTCTTTTCTTTTTTTTAAGATTCCACATATAAACAATAAAACTAGCCATTTGAAAGTAACTGCTCAGTGGCATTAGGGCATCCACAGTGTTATGCATCCAGCACCTCTCTCCAGTTTCAGAACATTGTCATCACCCCAAACGGAGACCGGGCACCCATCAAGCAGTCCTTCCCGTTACTCCCGTCTCAGCCCCTGGGAACCACGAATCTACGGTCCGTCTCTATGGCTTTGCCTGTTCTGCACATTTCCTCCAAATGGAGTCCTGCTCTTGGTGGCCTTTTGCATCTGGCTTCTTTCACTGAACCGAAGGCCTTCCCGATGGGGAGGAGCGAGGCACAGGTACCTCATGATTCCCCCTCAGTGCCCAGCTCCCCTGGTAAGCAAGGAGCTCCTGGCTCCAATCCTTCCCGAAGTCTGTACCCAGTATGCAAGTGTCTCAGGGCTCAGTCCAAACCAGGAAGAAGGTCTCTAAGAACTGGGTGGTTACTCCATGTTCCAGGAGAGCAGGGAGGCTTCCTATGCGGCCTCCCGTCTCCCCACCTACCCCTCTACTCCCTGCAGAGTTAACATCTCCATCATGGATGCCTGCACTCCCACACGCCCCACCCCGCAAGGATTAGGAGCAGTCAGCCTAGCAGGTGGGGCCAGGAAGACAGATGCTGGGACCACGTGCAGGGCTCTGGCCCTTCACACACACAGCGGTCAGTCTGCCTCTTCTGTACAACAAGACGGGGATCAGGCTCCTTCAGAGGTGCCTGCGGTCACTCAAAGCTCTGCCGGACACCTGAGTGCAACCCCAGCTCAGCAGGATTTTACCCCTGAAGATCAGCTGCATAGACCGAGGGAGTAGTCAGAGCTCTGGGCGAAGGACCCCTCTCCAAGGAGACAAGAGAGTAAAGACAGACAGGCAGCTCATGAGGAGGGAGCTCCAGGGAGGAGAAGGCTTTACAGCCAGCTCTGTGGGCGGCCCCAAGGAGCAGCTCTGTGTTCTGCCTCCCCCATCATCTCTGGGTCCGAGCAGCCCTCTCTGCCCCTCCGGGTATGAGAAGCACACAGGGCTGTCCTGCCCAGAAGGCAGAGGCTTTGCAGGACACTCGGAAAACCCAGGAGCAGCTTCCTGCAGAGGCTGAAAGGGTGTGGGAGGGTGTGGAAGGGTGCGGAATCCCTGCATTCCAGACTGCAAGCCTGGGCTGGAAAGAGCCCGTGGCCTCGTCTGCTGAGGTGGGAGAGCAGGGCCAAGGTCGTGGCCAGGCCAGCCCAGCGTCCAGCTCCACAAAGCCTGGGCCTCAGGCTTCCCAGCGCTGGAAACTTGCGTGGCGCTTGTCCTTGGGAGGTGCCTGGATGTTCTGCATCCTTGGACATTTGCGTCCTGTTTGATGGGTGGGTCCTTGGAAGCCTGGCATCCTGTAGTGTTGGCACATCCCCAGCATCTGCCTACCCTAACACTGAGCTCCAAGATGAATCCAAACACTCCCCTGGGTGTGAGCAGGGCTTCCTGATTGCCTGTCCTGGCTTCTCAGAGCTCTGTCTGTCCTCCGGGTCTGGACAGCTGTCAGACTGCCCTGTCCAACCCCAGTGTCCCCTGGATGGAAGTAAATCATACATCCTCCTATGACAGCAGGAAGCATACTCTTCTGCTTCCTTTCAGTGCTGCAGAGTTGCTCATCTTTGCTACTAAATGGTGGTCCATGACACCTCTAATTGTGCCATAGCTCTGATCCCCTCAAACTGAGTGAGGGAACCATCACACTTGCACTCGGCTTCAGGGACAAGGTCTTCTCATGCTGCTCGCTGCCTACCCAAAGTCATTCTCCCTTTTTTCCCAAGTGACATAACCTGGATGCCATGCACAACAGCAGCATGCTTGGCGAATCAACTCTACTTCCTGCCTCCCCCTACAGCAAAGTGTGGCCATGAAGCTAAGTTCTGGCCAATAATACAAAAATGTAATTGCTCTGTGAAACTCCCAGGAAGGCTGCTTAAAAGAGAGCTAGCTCAAGGGAAAACAGGCCCCTTTTGTATTGCCCCATTCCTCCTTCCTGCTGTCTGGAATGCAGATGTGATGACTGGAGCTCCAGCAGCTATAATGGTTCATGACACCTTGAGGATGGAAGACACATAATAGGATGGTGCAGCAGAAAGAGAGATGGAGCTTGGGTCCCTCTTGTCCATCAGATTGCCTACCTCTGGCCTCCTTTAGCATGAAAAAGAAACTCCTATCTTAAGTCACTAGTATGTTATGTGTTTTACATAGGCGAAACTAATTCTCACTGGTACACCTGTTTGGCTGACTTTGACCCTGACTATCTTCCCTAGAAAATTTTCACAACCAGGTGTACCGGGGTTTTGTACAGATGTGTAAGAGCTTGGGAACTACAGGAAAAGGTAGAAGGAACAAACACAAAAATGGAGTAAGCACTAAATGTCAGGCTAGAGACACCAAAGTGAACAATGATGTGATTTACACACAGAATATCAAAGATTTTAAAGTGGTGACTCACTAAGATTGCCCAGTGTATTCTGGAGCCTGAATGTGGTCTTTATTTGGTTACTGATGTTGGTTTTAAAAGTGAATTTATTCCACAAAAGATGCTGGGACAACTGAATATCCACATACAAAAGAATAAAGGAGGACTGTATTCTCATCTTCCCACAAAAATTAATTCAAAACTCTAAATAAAAGTGTTCAAACTATCAAAACTCTTAAAAGAAAGCAAAGGTATAAATCTTTGTGACCTTGGGTTAAGCAATGGTTCCTTAGATGATAGAAAAGCACAAGAAATAAGGAAAAAGAGAAGAATTGGATTTCATCAAAATTAAAAACTTTTATGCTTCCAAAGATATCATAAAGTGAGTGAAAAGCAAGCCACTGACTGGGAGAAAATATTTGTAAATCATGGATCTAATAAGGTACTTGTACCCAGAACATACAAAGAACTCCTACAACTCAATAGCAAAAAGACAAACAGCCCAACTGAAGACTGGGCAAAGGAACTGAAGAGATATTTCTCCAAAGAAGGCGTACAAATGGCCAACAAGTGCATGAGAAGATGCTAAGCATCGTGAGCCATGAGGGAAGTCAAAGCCACGATGAGGCACCACTTCATACACCGCAGATTGGCTCAAATCGTAAAAGCCAGACAAATACACAGAAGCTAACAAGTGGTGTTGGCAAGGATGTGGAGGACTTAGAACCATCATATGTTGCTGGTGTGAGTGTGAAATGGTCCAGGCTCTTTGGAAAGCAGTCCAGCAACGCCTCACAAGGTTAAGCAGAGTTACGATATGACCTAGGAGTTCCACTCCGAGGTGCACACCCATAAATATACAGTGAAAACACACGTTCACACTGACACCTGTATACAGATGTTCACTGCAGCACTGTTCCTAACAGTCAAAACAATGATGAAAACAACCTAAAAGGCCACTGACTGATAAATGGGTAAAATGTAGATAGTGAAACAAAAGAATATTATTCAGCAGTGAACAGGAAGGAGTGATAGTTGCTACAATATGGACAAAGCTTGAAAATAACAGGCTAAGTTTCAGCAGCCAGATACAAAAGGCCACATACTGTATGAGTCCACTTACAGGAACTATCCAGAAGAGATAAATCTAGAGACAGACAGTAGACGTGAAGTTGCCAGGGGCCGTGGAGGAGGAGAGAACAGGGAATGACTAGTAACTAGTACAGAGATTCTACGGGGATGAATAAAATGTCATAAAACGAGTAATGCCGATGGTTGCACGATTCTGTGAATACACTAAAAATAGAAAAAAACTGATAGATTTTATACATTTAAACAGGTGAACTTTATAAAGCTTACAATCCCCAACAGGGGCACTGGGGATTAAACCCAAGACCTCGTGCATGCTGAGCACACGTTCTACCACTGAGCTATACCCCCACCCCCAAAGCTTCTTTAAAAAAAGGAAGCGAGGGCTCCATGCAAAGGGGACCTGATTGAAGTGGACTACACACCTGGTGGGGACAAACCCCTCCTGGGCCTGGAGCTGGGAGACCCAGACACTCGCCCTGCCCCCCTGCTTCTCTTTGGTACTTCGGTTCTCTGTTTCCTCCGCACACATGCACATCCCAGCCGCAACCCCACCTCACAGTTACTGAGCACCTGCTGTGGGCCAGGCTCCATCCTTAACCACCTACAATGACTAGCATGTTTACTCCTCCCAGGAATCTCAAGAGGTGGGTACTATTTCACAGTCCAGAGAAGTTCAGTAACTTGCCAACAGTCACACAGCTAGTGAGTGACAGGGCAGGGATTCGAACCCACCAAGGCCAAGGCACCAACCGCTGTGGAGTTCCTCCCTGGCAGCCACCGCACCTCCTGCATTCTTGGGCATAAAGTATCAATACATATTTCCAAGAATTTTTATCCCCAAATCTTCAGATGCCGTCACAAATGTTTACATTCATGTCAATTCTTTTTCAAGATTTGTCCAATTCTAAATATTTAATCTACTGAGTTACTTGTTTTCAGGGTTTTAACATCCTTGATATTTCCGTTCTGCCTCCTGCCTTTTATGAAAATGAGCTGCGACAGATGTTCCTCAGCAGAGGGGCCGGCTGAAAGGTTCTGACAGGCTAGGCCTGTCACACAGAAACTAAGATATTCTGGAGCACTCAGAGGTCTCTCCAGCCTTCCCGCAGGCAACAAACCGGGTCAGAAGCCAGGCTTGCTTCCTCTGAATACCTCAGTCCAGCGGATCTCCGGATCACCAGATAGGCATCAACCGCATAGCAGAACAGCCACCAGAAGCAGGCACTGTACAGCAGCTGGATCCACATCTGTAACCGGGGGGGCGGGGGCATCAAAGCTCCTGGAGTCAGGCTCCAGACTACCCCCACCATGAAATGAGCTGGCAGACGCCCACTTCCTCTGACGTCAAGAGGCAGCACATGAAAGCCCTCTGGAGACACGTGGACCGTCTTGGAAACCAGGGTGGGGTGTGGCCAGGGACGGGCGTGTGCCTTTGTCCCCGGCCTGCTCAGCTGGACTGGTCCAGCGCACCCTCCTTGTGGTACCCTTGTAGGCAGGAAGGTAAGGACTCAGATGTGTGGCATGACCTCAAGGCTCCCGGGGTCTTTGAATGAGAAGCTCTTTTGCTGAGAACAAAGGAGGATGGGCAGGAAGGACCTTCCCAGGAGAAGGGGAAGGCAGGGGCTCCGGATGTTAGAGACGGAACAAGACTTATACTGGGACGGATGTTCCACCGGGATGCAGCTGGGAAGCAATGGGAGGGAGGGAGAGACGCTGACGATGCTGCCGCAGACGGTGGGGTGAGTGCAGCATTCAGTGCCCTCTGAGGTCACTCACTGAAGCACTGACTTTGCAGACAGAGCAATATGTCCATCAAACAGATGTATTTAAATATATCCTTTGTTAAAGTAAAATACATCCAATAAATCAATAACATTCTTTTTTCTTTTTCTTTCTTGGCCAGCTGGTTTTGATTGTGGCTGGATCTAAGGTAAGGATTGCATGTGTGTTTAAGGAGGGGGGCACACTAACACAGCAGTTCTGAAACCTGAGTGTGCGTCAGAGCCCCTGGAGGGTTTGTTAAATCACAGATGCCCCCCCCCCGCCTCCAATTCCTGGTCAGGGGGTGGGGGAGTGGGGAGGCTCGGAGCATCTGTATTTCAAAACTGCAGTGGGTTGGTGGCAGGGTGGGGACCACACTTTGAGGACACAGCCTGGCAGGAGCAAAGGGGAGTGGAGAGATGAGGGGAGGCACACTTACTGCACTCCCCACACAGAAGGCAGTGGGCCACACGTCAGTCCCATTCACAGCTGAGATGTCCACGAAGCTCGGGAATCCTAACCACACCGTGGACCGGACTATGATACCTAAGGGAGAATCAGGTAATTCTTTGAATGTGGTTCCATTTCAAATCTAAAGCTGACTTGCTGCTCTGTAAAAAGGATGGATGGTTGGATGGGTGGATAGGAAGGAGAGAAAAAGAAGTGAGGTAGGGAGCAAGGAAATAAACACACACATTGGTGTGTGCAGACAGACAGAAAAAACAAGACTCAGAAAATAACTATTATGGTAATGGAGCAATCCCAGGCACTCTGATTTCAACTGAAACCAGCATTAGCTCTAATTTTTTTTGTTCGTTTACCTGGCATTAAGAAATGATTATGTCAATAACAATCTGTATTTTCTCGTCCAAGTGAAATATTCCTCACATAAAAAAGAACTGAAAAAGCACAATTCTGAAGTTTGAAAAGTTCTTTCATTCTTTAAAAAAACATATTTAAGATTTTCACAAATTAGCTCTGGATAATTTGATTTTGACCTTTATTAATTGTGAGTTTTCCTGGCTATTTGACCCAAATATCGAATTCTCCTCTAAACAGTACACACGCTTTCGGTCCATATGAGGGGTCTCTGCTGGGTAACGTGATACCCGCTGTTTAAGCGCACACCGTGTGACGCGCTGCCTTTCTTTGGCACAGTGAGTGCTTGGTCATTTTCAGGATACAGCACTGATGTGAGCTCAAGAAATACCGAATTTTTTTTTTAATTTCTAAGTGAGGTGATAGATGTTAACTAAATTTATTGTGGTCATCATTTCAGGATAAACGTAAAACAAGTCATGATGCTGTCTGCCTTCAACTTACACAGTGCTGTGAGTCAGTTACAGCTCAGTGAAACCGAAAAAAAACAAAACAAAAAACAACAAGACCCACGCCCTAAGAGGTAGGCATCTGTAATTCTTATTTTCCAGTGAGGAGTCTGGTCACCAGGCCTCCCCTGACTCCGGCTTCTGCTCCTTTGCCCACAATGCCCTGTCTTCCCTTCTAAAGGCCGGAGGACATCCAGGTATTATTTCACTGGCCCTCAAAAGACCTTTGGGTACATCTCTACTTCCAGATATTCAAGTGACAGAAATTAAATTACTGTGAAGATGCGTTTCCAAACTGCTTTTTAGCAGAATCAGGAAGAAACCAGTTTTTTATGGAATTGTCATGCCCCAAATTGATTTTACCCTAACAGAAAGGAAGTATTGTGTCCTGTCTCACTCAAGTCTGAGAGAGTGAGCAGAGGTTCCACAGCATTTACCTGAAGTCATGAGTCCTCAGTGCCTCCAATCACACGAACTGGAGCGGGAGAACCAGGCCCTGGGACACACAGCCACCAGTGCCCAGGCATCTGCCCCCCCCCCGGGGAGGGGGGAGGTAAAAGCTGCCACCACCCCTCAGGGCGTGGAGGTGGAGGGCACTGCAAATGCCACCAGCCGTGGAACAAACCAACTGTAAATTAGCATTTGTGAGAAGACTGAACATATGCCAATGATACTAAGGAGTTGGTTTTCATTATTTTAAGATGCTAATGACATTGCAGTGATATATATATTTTTTAAATTCTTATCTTCTTCACTCATATGTATCTGTATGGATGAAAGGATATAAACTCTGGGATTTGCTTCAAATTAATCCAGTGGAGAGTGGGATGAGGGGATGGGATGTAGATGAAACTGGGTACAAGGGACACATCATACGGTCTCTCTGCATTTGTAGATGTTGGAAATTTTCCAAAATGAAAAGTTAGAATGCTCAGCAAAATGGAGCTTAGAAGCCTATAAAAACATGCCACGCTAGAGGTGAAAGCAGGGGTCAGCCAAGCTTCTGTCAAGGGCCAGAGAGAAAATATTTCAGGCTTTATGGGCCATACTTTCCCTGTTCAACACACCCCCTGCCCTCGTAGGGCAGAGTTGGCCGAGACGACACACTAGCGCAGGGCCTGGCTGTGTTCCCATGAAGCTGCGCTTACGGACGCTGGCATTTAAATGTCATGGGATATCTCCATGTCAGGAAACAGTCTTTTTCTTTAGATTTTTAAGAAACACTTTAAAACGTAAAAACAGTCTTAGTTCATGTGCCATAGAAAAGAGGCAGCAGGCAGGATTTGGCCTAAACTGCAGTTTGCCTGCCTGTGGAATAAAACTCAAACTTGCATAGATGGATGGATGGATGGATGGATACACAGATGGTAGATGATGGATAGATAAAATTTTATTATATATTTATATATTTATTTATATATATAATATATATAAAGGAGATATAGATACAGATATAGACGTATATCAAGTTTTCTTCCTGATTCTGCTAAATCACATTGGAAATGAATGTGTGTGTGTGTGTGTGTGTACACAGAATAAGAACTGCTAGTCTCTCACTGGTGTAACAATTAAGGATGCATTCTACTTTCTGGGTTTTCCTTAACAGCGCTGTCTAGTTCCCCTGGTAAGCTTGCAGTAACACATTAAGTTGGTCTAGAAAAGGAAAAAAAAGGGGGGGG